TAAAACCCTGCTCAACCGTATGCTGCTTAAAACCGCACTCCTTTAGGCAAAGGATACAAATGACTGATTATCACGTCTGACGTATTCAGCAATGTGCTAATCTGTCTTGTCGTGAAATTTGTATCAACATATCTTTATTTTCATTTTTTATCAGGCAGTCTCATTGAGATCGAGATCTCTCATACAAGAGAGGCCTGAGAACAAGGAACATTCACAATCAACACACAACACAGCATACAAACAAACAAACAAACAAAAAAAGAACCAGTTAAAACAGTTACAGCGACTATTGTAAACATCAGACAACATGTATTTAAAATCTCCAAGATGAAAAAAAAGCTCCAGTTTAAGAGCGGTTTGCAGCTCATTCCATTTCAAGGGAGCATAGTAATTGAAACCAGTTCTGCCAATATTAGTACGGGTATATGGAATATCTAAGGTTAGATAGTTACTGGATCGTGTTCTGTAGCTACCAGGTTTAAATGAAAGAAGAGATGTGAGGTAGCTGGGAGGCTTCAGCAGAAGGGCTTTATAGATGAATAACATGAGACGGATATTGCGTCTGGACTGTAAAGAGGTCCAGGCAACCTTTTAATAGAGGGAACAGTGATGAGTGCGAAATGTGTCGTTAGCAGTGAGACGTAGTGCACTGTGATACACAGGATTTAAGAGCTGAAGAGTTGATGGGGCTGCAGCCGTGTTTCCATTGCAAGCAGGATGGCTGTGGCATCAGGATCTGACCGGAGCAGGGGATGCTTACCGGGTGCTCGCCGATGTCGGTCGGTCCGGGGCCCGTGAGGGCCGGACAGGCAGAGACCTGAGGCCACTCTTTTCTTTCCACATGAGATCAGGGGAGAGCGCGGACGCAGTCCCCCACTACCAGAAACTATGCAGTCGAGATTCCCACATTTGGGGAATTCGCAAGGGTCAGCACAACCGGATGTGCAATGGCTGAGCCTCGCCCTGGGTGAACCACCTTCGTGATCGTGGTGTCGCCCCTGCCAGGTAAGTATGAGTTGCAGAGCTCAGAGACACGCAACGCATTCACTGCCATATCACACTGACCGATGGTGCTGACCATCTAAGTCAAAGGGTGTTTGTGTGTGTGTGTGTGTGGGGGGGGAGGGGTCCACAAAACCATATGTCACAAGGAACTGCCCAGCAAGGCTTGAAACTGCCTTACAGTTTACAATGCTGCAGCGCAAGCTAGGTATTTTTGCATCAGTTAACACAAACAAAAGCTGACTGACTGCAGACTTAGTGTTTCTTGACTGCGTCAGCTCAACCCACTGGTGACCACGCACTGGTTAGACCATCCAAATCTTTGTCATAGCGCATGGCACCCATAGAATGCGGACTCTGGCGCATTAAAACAAGACAGGCGGATCGCTGCCTTTGCAAAGATTCTCAACAGCAGCTGACCCAGACACAGCAACCTTTGTCATAACACCACAGAGAGGGGGGTGCACCGTTCCTGGAGGTGCTGCAATACCAGGTCGATGCGTGGAGTGGACGGAGCAAGCCCCTATTCCATCTTCCAGCTCCAAAAATCAATTTAATATATGGTCCCCGGGTAGGGGACGTATCAGATATTAAACTGATAAGAACAGACACTACACTTGATCTTAGCCAAAAGGCCGAGAAGCGATGCTGCACGGATGTGGGAGGGCAGACACACACTCTCCGCACTGTGCCTCCCGCTAACGGTCCATTTCATCTCACTTACGCCAACAGCACTCCAGGAGACCCAAATTGAGCCTTCTGCGCCAGGTCAAGGAGTGACAGGGGAAGCAACGTCAGCAAACAAAGCAATGTTGAAAAGTTGGGTCCTTGCAACTTTAGCTACACCAAACTTCCTGGTCGGTCTTTGTCCATTGCTGGTGGAAAACCCTGCCACTGCCACCTACTGCTCTGGCAGCTCTGTAATAGAGGCTCTGTGCTGCTTTACAGTGTACACCGGTAAATCACAACGTAGCGTCGAGACAAGCCAGTGTGTGAAACTCACACCTTCCTTCCTCGCGGGGAAAGTTCCTCACCTGGTCCCAGGACACAGGATCCTATACATTTCTCTAGACTTGTTTGGACTTTCAGGTTACACAACCGGAGGTTGGCCCAAACCTCTGGCTCTTCTCAACTGGTCAATGCCAAGAACAGAGACAGAGTTGTTCATTACCTTTCAAACTGACTCTATCACTGACCATCTAAATAATTACTCATGCCTCAACCCTGGTCTCCCAATTGAGATTTACTGTCCTCAGTGTGTGTGAACGCCTGGAATCCAAGGAAAGGTCTGAGGAGCAGGACGCTGACCTCCAGACCCAGACCTCTGTCCTAAAACCCTGCTCAACCGTATGCTGCTTAAAACCGCACTCCTTTAGGCAAAGGATACAAATGACTGATTATCACGTCTGACGTATTCAGCAATGTGCTAATCTGTCTTGTCGTGAAATTTGTATCAACATATCTTTATTTTCATTTTTTATCAGGCAGTCTCATTGAGATCGAGATCTCTCATACAAGAGAGGCCTGAGAACAAGGAACATTCACAATCAACACACAACACAGCATACAAACAAACAAACAAACAAAAAAAGAACCAGTTAAAACAGTTACAGCGACTATTGTAAACATCAGACAACATGTATTTAAAATCTCCAAGATGAAAAAAAAGCTCCAGTTTAAGAGCGGTTTGCAGCTCATTCCATTTCAAGGGAGCATAGTAATTGAAACCAGTTCTGCCAATATTAGTACGGGTATATGGAATATCTAAGGTTAGATAGTTACTGGATCGTGTTCTGTAGCTACCAGGTTTAAATGAAAGAAGAGATGTGAGGTAGCTGGGAGGCTTCAGCAGAAGGGCTTTATAGATGAATAACATGAGACGGATATTGCGTCTGGACTGTAAAGAGGTCCAGGCAACCTTTTAATTAGTGATGTGTCCTTCAGTGCCGAGGCTTCGAAGCGTGTGTCGAGTAATGAAGGGGGCGTTTCCGCGAAGCGCGTATCGAGGCTTGCTTCATGTAGGGGTGGAGCCAAAAATGATGACGTCCGAAGCCTCGCTACCCGGCTATACCACGTGACTGGTTCAAGAAACGGTTCACGGGTTTGGCGGATGATTTAACAGGCAGCGAAACGCAATGGAGTCCTGCCCTACTCACAATCCATAGACTCGAGACTTGTTGAAAAGTTGTTTTTAAATAAAAATAAATAAATATAAATGAATTGTTTATGTTTTATTTGTTGTCCCCGTAACAAAAGTACGAACAACAAACTAAGTAACACATTCACATCACAACCCTCTCGATAATTTATGTCCTCTTCCCCTTTTTGACACTGCAACTGTGTCTTAAAGACAAACACCATATTAATAACTTTATCATTTCTGTATTGTATCACAAACACACGGCATCACATCCATTCATTCATTGGATTCAAAGCTTCGCGCACCAAAGCCTCGGGGTGTCTTTGGTTTATCACTCTGTCTGTTTTACATTTATTGTCCACTTGATGGCGCAACAGAGCAAATGAAGCACGACCATGAAGCTTCGGCCCAGGAGGCGAGTAATTGGATGGAAAGCTTCGATGCTTCATGAGGCTTCATCTCGCCATCACTACTTTTAATAGAGGGAACAGTGATGAGTGCGAAATGTGTCGTTAGCAGTGAGACGTAGTGCACTGTGATACACAGGATTTAAGAGCTGAAGAGTTGATGGGGCTGCAGCCGTGTTTCCATTGCAAGCAGGATGGCTGTGGCATCAGGATCTGACCGGAGCAGGGGATGCTTACCGGGTGCTCGCCGATGTCGGTCGGTCCGGGGCCCGTGAGGGCCGGACGGGCAGAGACCTGAGGCCACTCTTTTCTTTCCACATGAGATCAGGGGAGAGCGCGGACGCAGTCCCCCACTACCAGAAATTATGCAGTCGAGATTCCCACATTTGGGGAATTCGCAAGGGTCAGCACAACCGGATGTGCAATGGCTGAGCCTCGCCCTGGGTGAACCACCTTCGTGATCATGGTATCTCCCCTGCCAGGTAAGTATGAGTTGCAGAGCTCAGAGACACGCAACGCATTCACTGCCATATCACACTGACCGATGGTGCTGACCATCTAAGTCAAAGGGTGTTTGTGTGTGTGTGTGTGGGGGGGAGGGGTCCACAAAACCATATGTCACAAGGAACTGCCCAGCAAGGCTTGAAACTGCCTTACAGTTTACAATGCTGCAGCGCAAGCTAGGTATTTTTGCATCAGTTAACACAAACAAAAGCTGACTGACTGCAGACTTAGTGTTTCTTGACTGCGTCAGCTCAACCCACTGGTGACCACGCACTGGTTAGACCATCCAAATCTTTGTCATAGCGCATGGCACCCATAGAATGCGGACTCTGGCGCATTAAAACAAGACAGGCGGATCGCGGCCTTTGCAAAGATTCTCAACAGCAGCTGACCCAGACACAGCAACCTTTGTCATTTCACCACAGAGAGGGGGGTGCACCGTTCCTGGAGGTGCTGCAATACCAGGTCGATGCGTGGACTGGACGGAGCAAGCCCCTATTCCATCTCCCAGCTCCAAAAATCAATTTAATATATGGTCCCCGGGTAGGGGACGTATCAGATATTAAACTGATAAGAACAGATTTTTTTTCTTTCAAAAGGTTTATTGTTACAGAACAATTTATGTGCTTATTTCAGAACTGGACTTTTCCTAAGCGGGATGACAATTTACATCAACATCGAACACATGTTTTTTTTGTTTTAAAAAGACATTTTTCAGACACAATACATTGTTGATATGTAAAACAAATTAAAAGGCAATGATGAGTTAAAATTCTCTGTGTCTTAAAAAGTGTCCATGTTGTTAAAACCACCTTAAAAGAAGAGCATTCATGTTAAAAGTTCTTTCTTAGGTTCTTTGTGCAGGAGCGGGTTAAGCCCCTACCAAGAAAAAAAACTCATTCTGCTCTACCAAACAGGTGTGGTCTCTCGGGGTCCTGCCTTGGTGCTCAGAGGAGACCCCCACCCTGCTGCTCCTTCCCGCCTGCCACTCCCGGAGAGCCAGGCTGCTGCTGCTTTGAACTTTTCCCGTGTAGCTCCGGCTCCTTCGTCCGAATGGGCACAGAGGCGATTCTTCTTTGTGGCTGTTTCCTAGGCCTGCCGCCTGCAGCCCCGGCCATTGTGACCGTTGCTGCTGCCATCCGGAGAACAGCCACGGGGGGGATCTGCTTGTGCTTCCTTACCAGCAAGTTCCTGGAGGTCCATATGGCGTCCTTGATGGCGGCTAGAGTGAGCCATTGTTGGGAAAAGTCCTTTGGCGGCTGCTGTTCATGGCTCACTCCATAAAGCACTAGCTGTGCTGTGAGGACCTCCCTTGCTGGTAAGCACGGGAATTGCAAGGTGCCGGCCAGTGCCCACTGTTCTACAGCAGCGCTGCACTCCCAGAGCAGATGCCTCACCGACTCAGGCGCGCCACAACCTGGTCGGGGGCAAAGTGAGGACGTTGACATGCCCCGGGAGTGCATAACAGACCTGACTGGGAGGATCTCATGAGCCACCATCCATGACAGGTCCCGGAGTCTGTTTGGAAGAGCAGGATGGTTCACATTGCGCCAAACTGTGGAGGGCTCACCGAGTGCAAGCCCGCGCACTGGACTCACTGGCTCCCGCTCCTGCACAACAGAAATGAGAGAACGGTGGTTAGTTAAAATGTCCAACTGTTCTTCTTCAAGTTTAAAATGTTTTAAAAATTTCTGAATTAAAAGATATGCAGGGGGAAGGTTAAAGGACACTGGAATTCTCAGGTCCACAGGTAAGATTTTTAGCCGTTGCAGATATGACCCCATCCAGAATCTTGTAAGGGCAGCTGTTTTGGGGTTTCTGGATGGGGCCATGGCAGCCCTGATCGCCAGTGAAGCATATCTGCTTTTTAAAAACAGGCCAAGGTCCGGCACTCCTTTTCCTCCTTTTTCTTTGTTTTTTTTCATCGTCTCCCTCTTGATTCTCTCCCACTTGGTCCCCCACAGGAAATAAAAAATTGTACGGTCCAGTTCTAAAAGCACATGTCGAGGAGGGATAAAAACAGAGCCAATCAATAAAAGCAAAGGTAAAATCACTGCTTTAATAATTAAAACCTTCCCTTCCAAAGTCAGTTGTCTTTGTCTCCAAAACCCCAGTCTCTGTCTAACTTTCCCTACTTTGTCTGGCCAATTTGTTTTTCCTCCCCCTCCCTGTCAAATTTTACCCCAAGGATTTTCTGTTCCGTCTGGGTCACAGTCAAGGGGAGTCCAGTCATTTCAGTCGCCGTCCAAGGTCCGTGAAATTGGGCTTGGGTCTTTTGTCTGTTGAGTCTTGATCCAGAGGCCCGTCCAAAAAAGTCAGTCATGTCAAGGGTTCTGTAAACTGATAAAAGGTCAGTACATAAAATGTTGATGTCGTCCATGTATAAAATGCATTTGTTGGTCAGTCCTCCGCTCCCTGGTATCCCCACCCCTTTGATCCGTTGGTCCCTTCTCAAGATCTGCGCCAGGGGTTCAATGCAGAGGACATAGAGGAGGGCAGATAACGGACAACCCTGACGGACACCGCAGTTTATTTGAACTGCATTTGTTAGATGCCCGTTAACCACAAATTTGCTGATGATGTCCCTATACAGCAGTCCCACCCAAGCTATATACCTCTCTGGGAACCCCATCTTTTGCAGTACCTGGAAAAGATACTGGTGCGAGACCCGATCAAAGGCCTTTTCAAAATCTAAATTGAGGACTACTAGCCGAATGTTTCTGTCTCTCGCTAAACAGATGGTGTCTCGGATCAGTATCAGGCTGTCGGTGATCTTCCTCCCCGGGACGGCACAGGCTTGATCCGGGTGAATCAGCCCCTCTAAAAACACAGACATACGAGATGATAAAAGCTTACTAAAAAGTTTGCAGTCAAAATTTAAAAGGGTGATAGGTCTCCAGTTTTTTAGGTCTGTCTTGTCTTTGTCTTTAAAAAGGAGAGTCACTATCCCTAATCTAAAACTGTCAGGAAGTCTGTCAAGTTTTTCAAAATCCATAAAAACTGTCAAAAGGTCAGGTGCTAAAATGTCCCAGAAAGTCAAATAAAATTCCAGGGGAAGTCCGTCATGCCCTGGGGACTTCCCCCTCTTAAAACCTTTTAGGCAGGTTTCAAGTTCTAAAATGTTAAAATCTTGGGATAAAAGCACACTTTCTTCAATTGTATGTTCTATGAATTTCAAAACTTCTTTTAAGGTATCATGTTCAATAGGTTTTTCTTTATATAGTTTTTCATAAAAGCAGGTCACTGTTTCTTTTATTTCTTCTGTTGTTTCTGATATGCCACCATTTTCTTTCTTAAGTTTGAGTATTGTTTTGTCTTTGTTTATGATTTTCTTAAAAAAGTATCTGGTGCACTTTTCACCTTCTTCTATTTCCTTTTCTTTGCTTCTTAGAATGACACCTTTACTCTTGATGTCAGCCAAGGCTGACATTTGTAATTTAACTTCCTTTATTTCTTCATTAAAATCCATTCCATTATGATTTTGGTTAAAATATCTTTGTAGTCTTTTTTGCAATCCCAGCATGCGTCTATGTTCTTTTTGTTTTTTCCTTTTCCCAGCTTGCCTAAAAAAGTCTGGGTCCTTCCCTTCACCATTTCCCACCAGTGTGCGCGTGTCTCGTAAAAGTCTTGAAGGGTCTGCCATTCTTCATACTGCTCCCTGTACTGCCTGACAATCTCCCTTTCTTCTAACAGGGAGCAGTTGAGTTTCCACAGACCCTTCCCAGAAGTCACACCAGAAGGGAGTGAAAGGGTGCAGGAAAGCATAGCGTGATCTGAAAAGAAAACAGGGGTTACTCTAGCATCAGTTGGCGGGCAATCTCTTGATAAAATATAATCTATGCGAGAGGCTTTGGTGCCATCACCACTGAACCAGGTGAAGCCCTCCTCTCTGGGATGCATGACTTTAAAACAGTCGAGTAATTTAAAATCCCTGCATATAGCCCCCAATAAAACTGATGTTTTGTCAACTTTAAAATCCTCCCCTGCTCCTTTCCTATCCTTCCTACATAAAATACAATTAAAATCCCCTCCTAAAATCAGTGGCAGCCTGCCTAGCATGTGGGATTGCAAGTCTTCTAAAAGGTCATACCTGTCATTTTTGTCGTTAAAACCATAAATATTTAAACAATTAAAATCCTTCCCCATAAAAGTCAGGTGTGCTAAAAGTGCCCTGCCATCTCTCACCACGGTGCTGCCCTTCACCAAGACCTGGGGGTTTTTGATTAAAATGGCCACGCCATCATTTTTATTTTGGTTGGATCCACTCCATAGGGATGTATGTGGCCAAAGTTTCTCCCACTCTGTGTAACTGGTCTTAAAAGGCAATCCGCACTCTTGTAATAAAAACACATCTGACTTCAGAGAATAAAGGAATGATAAAACGGCTTGGGCTCTAACTTGCGACTTCACACTTCTCACATTGATGGTAGAGAAGGTGAGAGCCATAAGTATGGTTAAAAACAACAGGTACGACATTTAAAATGCTAAAAATAAAGGGCAATCAATTTGTCAGAGGAGCTCTTCTTTCACTCTCATGGGGGGAGAGTGACTGAACTGAGCTCCAATTCCCTTACAGGCTTTACAGGTCTACCTACAGGTAGACCATGCATTATATTAACAGCCCTTCTAGGGGTTGATTGCAGAGCTATATTGAGAAAAGAGACCTCATTGGGTGAATCGGAGGGGAAGACTCTGAGATCCTCCACAGATGAACTGTCTGAGGAGCTCCCAGCTCTTCCCCTTTTCTCTGAGACTACGGGAGACTCAGAGGACAATTCAGACAAAGGTCTCTTGGCTTGGGCATTGGGAAGGGTGGAGTCCTTGCTGTTAGTTTTTGGTGTTTCTGAGGTAGCTCCACCCTCTGCCTGCACAGCTCCATTATCCTCCACAGACTCTGCCTGTGGAGCAGGAGCTGGCTCCTCCCTCTTTCCCTCCTCACCTGACCCTTCTTCTCCAGTCAGGGGTTTTGGAGGGAAATTTGAATTTAACTGCCCAAGCTCCTCAAAAAGCTCACTAAACAATTTGTCTGGTCCGCCATTTTCCACTCCATTTCCATTTTCCTTTTCTGTTTCCTTTTCCTTTTCCATTCTTTTTGCAGCCTTCAATTTGTTGGCAAAAGACTTTGGACAATCTCTAAAGAGGTGATTTGTGTCACCACAGAGATTACACTTTCTGCCATTGGTACATTCCTCAAAGGTATGACCAATTTCTCTGCATTTCGTACAAATGGTCTTCTGGCACGCTTCCACAAGGTGCCCATGCTCACCACACTTGCGGCAGAGTTTGGGCTGGCCTTGGTAATGAATATAGCCCCGGTTATTTCCCAGGACTATCATAGATGGCAGATGTTTCAGGCCTTGGAAGCCTTGGGGGTCCTGCCATTGTTGGATGGGGACCCTCCAAGCACAATTCCAAATGCCATCCTCATCTCTCACCTTCATAGCCTGGCCTTTAACCGTGCAATATCTCCCCAGCCACATGCAAATGTCTTCTGCATTCACAGTCTCATTGAACATTCTGACAATAACCGTCTTTAAGGCATTATCAGTCAGTCTCTCAACATTAAATGCAGAAAACTGGGTTTTCACACTTTCATATCGTGTCCAGAAGTTGTTTAGCAATACAGCTGAACGAAAGCTCAGGTCAAATCCTTTGTTCAGGGGCAAGGTGACAATACAATTGATTTCATCTGGTTTAAAACCGAGGGATCTTTGAATCAGTTTCCTTGAGAAATCAAGCCTTGACATCTGCAACAGCTTTCCATCATTCTCGCGGAACATGAAGCGGACTGTGTGGTGCCTCCGCACGCCGGCATTGGGAGCCGACATGGTGGAGGCACCTGGAACAGACAATCTATTCAGGAAAAAAAGTTATTGTACTTACCTGGAAAACCTAGGACTCCTTCTTCGCGCACCTTATATTCCTGTCTAAATGTGCTACCAGCAAAAGGTTCTGGGAGTACCTTTGACAGGAATGTGTTAGTTTACCTCCTATCAAGTGGTGGTCAGGTCACAGAGACAAAACCACACACGGCCGATTGGAGGCGACCGCTGTCAAAGCCTGTTGGCCAGAGCAATGCAGCACCTGATAAGAACAGATACTACACTTGATCTTAGCCAAAAGGCCGAGAAGCGATGCTGCACGGAGGTGGGAGGGCAGACACACACTCTCCGCACTGTGCCTCCCGCTAACGGTCCATTTCATCTCACTTACGCCAACAGCACTCCAGGAGACCCAAATTGAGCCTTCTGCGCCAGGTCAAGGAGTGACAGGGGAAGCAACGTCAGCAAACAAAGCTATGTTGAAAAGTTGGGTCCTTGCAACTTTAGCTACACCAAACTTCCTGGTCGGTCTTTGTCCATTGCTGGTGGAAAACCCTGCCACTGCCACCTACTGCTCTGGCAGCTCTGTAATAGAGGCTCTGTGCTGCTTTACAGTGTACACCGGTAAATCACAACGTAGCGTCGAGACAAGCCAGTGTGTGAAACTCACACCTTCCTTCCTCGCGGGGAAAGTTCCTCACCTGGTCCCAGGACACAGGATCCTATACATTTCTCTAGACTTGTTTGGACTTTCAGGTTACACAACCGGAGGTTGGCCCAAACCTCTGGCTCTTCTCAACTGGTCAATGCCAAGAACAGAGACAGAGTTGTTCATTACCTTTCAAACTGACTCTATCACTGACCATCTAAATAATTACTCATGCCTCAACCCTGGTCTCCCAATTGAGATTTACTGTCCTCAGTGTGTGTGAACGCCTGGAATCCAAGGAAAGGTCTGAGGAGCAGGACGCTGACCTCCAGACCCAGACCTCTGTCCTAAAACCCTGCTCAACCGTATGCTGCTTAAAACCGCACTCCTTTAGGCAAAGGATACAAATGACTGATTATCACGTCTGACGTATTCAGCAATGTGCTAATCTGTC